GGGGGTTGACAAATGTGTTGAAAAGAGAAGAGGTTCATTTGATCTATCCAATGACGGAAGAGGAAATGGGAGGGACTTAAGAGTACTGTAGACCAGAATCACAGGTAGTGATTCTTCATTTGGATCTTCATTGGTTCAAAGCTTTGTGAGTAATATTTTATCCCTACATTTCAGTAATAGTAAGCTATTGTTAATTATTTGAGAAGGCAATTTATATAGAAATATATGTGTGTGTTTGTGTGTGTATGCATTACTATGTAGATGTGCGTAAATATATAGGTATATATATATACCTATATATATATATATATATATACACACATGCAGTACATATATATAAGCCATATTTTTTTCACAGTGCTTTGAATGTAGAAAGTTTCCCCCAAACAGCACCATGGACTAACTATGTTATACATTGTTGTGGATTTGTTCCTTGGTGGCTGACTGTCAGTGAAGCTCTCTGCTCTCCTTCCTTCCATACGTTGTATTTGAGCAGAGAGCAGGCATGTCTGCAAAATCTCAGCTGTGTAGCGTTCTACCGTCTGCCTGCTGTATTTACGCTCCTCTTGTACGGTGGCTCTTCTCTCTGTCAACATTACGCTCTGAACGAAGCACAAAGCAGAAAGAGAAATAACTTGCAAAGCTGTTGATATTTACTAATCAGCTAAGCTGACGATTTAAAGTCCAGTCTTGTTTTTCTATTTTTGTTTTTCAAAGATTGTTCATTGTGCAGTTCAGTTCCTCTGAACATTTATATTAAGTGTAAGTGTGAGGCTGTCTAGGAGAAAAGAATCTTAAAAACGCCTTTGATGCAAGAGGCTGACAATGGTTCTAATTATAACTTCGGTGGCATTTTTTTCCCATTATGCATTTAGTCATTCCAAACTTTTTTTCCCCCAGATGCTACTTGTCTGAAGGAGAGAGTTAAACCCTATTCGCAGCTATGAGGTAATGTAGCAATATAATTTGTCCTCTGTAGTCAAATTTATACAGCGCTAGGTCAGCAAAACTTAAGAGATTTTGTTTGGAAGCACAGAATTAAAAATTTTTAAAGCAAATCTTTTGTCGGAAAAATTGTGAGTGGCTTATATGTTGAATATTGGCTATTATTGGCATTATTTGCTATCCATCAGGTACATTTTTGTAGAAATTTACATAAGTTACAGTCATTTGAAGTTACTGTATGATGGCAAACCAGTAAAAGGTGTCAACTGCACAACATTATATTCCATAAATTTGAAACCAGTTTCACTGCATTTGACTTTTTGACTTTTTTTCCGCTTATTCGGCACCATTTATGTTATTTAATACCTGCTTTGTTCTGATTTGATTTGTGCTTTCTGCTTCTGCTTTTTCCAGTGTGCTAATTCGTAAGCTTAGGACAGCTGGAACCCTGTGCGGTTGTTTTTTTTTCGTTATCAGCCTCAACTTCATATATACAAGGTAAAGACGTCTCTCTGATGATGTTTTTAAAGCATTTTTTTCCTCTCTTGCTGGTGACACACTATACAATTCTTTTCTGATAATAATAATTTTGAAAATGTTTTTAACAACATGATGATTATGGTCATTTTAGGTATTTTTCCAAAGTCCCTTTGAGCAACTGGGCCACAAACAATGATGAATTAAAGGAACTCTTTGATGCTGATATTACACTAAACTATGGGTAGGGAATGAAGTCTCTCATTTTGCTACACATTGTTAAGATGCCCATCTGTAAGAATGACTGTTCTGTAATCACTGTAAATATTTACTGTACTTACTGTACTACACAATAATAAAATTATCATAGACAACGATCGTCAAAAAATGTCAAAATCACTAAATTGCAATCATTTTCTGTTTCTATTACCTCACCATTGTTCTTGTGTGTATCTGTAATTTCAGAGCCAGAACAGATGTTACGACAATAAGTTCTTGGAAAGCTCCGATTATGTGGGAGGGAATGTTTGACCCAAATGTTTATGACCGAATGCACATTCACTTCGGGTCCAATGTGGCAGTCACTGTGTTTGCTGTTGGCAGGTTTGTGTTACTTTTCAAACAGTTATTCATTTGTCTAAGCAATTTGAAATCAGGACCTGAAAACTACACATATTTTTCTTTATCATAACTGGGTAAGTAAGTAAAAAGTAATTAAAAAAATGTCTAAGACCCAGTGTTTAAGGACTGGTAATCAGCAGTGTGAATACAGGTGTAACAGGAGTGGTGTTACTTACATGTCAATCAATAAATACCAGAAAGGTGAACTTTTCATTTGTATATCTCTGTCCCTAAATGCACAAATATTCCCAGAATTTGACTTCACATTTTGTGGTTATGATTACCACAAAATGTCATATTTATTTTATTTTTCAACACAGCAAAGTTTTAAAAATAAATAAATAGTTATATAATAACTTTTATCACACGTTGCTTTCTGGACGGCTTCCCAATGTTTAATAAAAATGTAGTAAAGCTGCTGCTGCAAAAATGTTTGGCTATCATGCTAAGGCTTGAGTCACCTTATGGAGAGCTGGTAGCAGAGAAATATATTTTTGTAAAATAAACTATATAAAAAGTAATTCAAACCAGATACTACATACTACCAACTACTGTAATCCTCAGATATAGCAACAACCATTCAGTTGCTAACGTATGGAGTGATTGACAGCTTAAACCTGAACCCTGGGTGGTACACTTATTTTAAAGTAGTGCTTTGTAGTGCTTCCAAATTTACATAAAGTCAGCTGTAGCGCCTCCCTGCCTGAGGTAGACATTGAGATTCTAGCATATAGACATATATTTTGTATAAACAGTTACACCTACCTTAAATAGTAACGGGTGTTGTTCACATGCTTTCTGCTTGCAAGTCATTTTTAATTACACATTTTATTATTCTTTGTGTTTTTTTCCGTAAAGGTATCTGGATGTCTACCTGTTGAATTTCCTTAACTCTGCAGAAAGGTACTTCATGGTGGGATTACCAGTGAAATACTATGTGTTTACAGACACACCAGAGAAAGTACCAAAGGTTGCGCTTGGTCACAAGCGAAGCATGAAGGTTCTCAAGGTGGACAGATACGATAGGTGGCAAGACATCTCCATGATGCGCATGCAGACCATATCAGAGATCATAGAATCAGAGATACGTTACAGCTTCAGATACGTCTACTGCTTTGATGTGGATCAAGTGTTTAAAGGCAGGTTCGGCTCAGAGGCTCTGGGTGATTCTGTGGCCATGATCCATTCCCAGTTTTATAGATATCCAAAGTACAGGTACACCTTTGACAAAAACCCTCAATCCAAGGCGTTCATGAAAGTTGGAGACTTATATTACCACGCTGCAGTCTTTGGAGGATCATGGGAGAACGTGAAGAATTTGACAGACACCTGCTACGAAAACATCATGGTGGACAAAATAAGAAACGTTGAAGCTTTGTGGCACGACGAGAGTCATCTGAATAGATTCTTTTTTGACAACAAACCGACCAAGCTGCTCTCACCTGAATACTGCTGGAATGAGATTTTCCCTGACCAGGACATACGCGTACCCCGATTAGTATGGGCACCAAAATATTATGACACACTTCGTACTTAAAACATTGACCAGTCATGTTGAAAACTCAACTATAAGGTATAAGGTATAAAGGGGTTTTTATTATAGAAGCCAGGCTATTAAACAATTTGAAATGGTAAAAGAAAGGGTCAGATTTGAGCATTTTATTTTAATTAGGAAATATTTGAAATGTACTTATTTTCTTTTCTTTTCTTTCTTTTTTTTGGCTTATTTAAGGTAGAAGCTGTCCCATGTTACAGAAAAGACACTTAAAAGACAGCAGAGGGTATATATGAATTAAGTTATTGTCAGGGATTATTATTTTTGACTTGTCTTGTCTTATTATTTATTTTTATGGATTCTGAAGAAAACACTCAATCTGTTATTAGTTATGTTGTTTCATTCTGTTTTGAGGACTTTCTAAGGAAAATAAAGCTATGTTGACTTTGAATTAATTTGATTATATTGATATAACTAACGTATTCAGTTTATTGTGGTGTTCTGAAGATGCATATGTCCATTCTAACAGTAGAGGGCAGTACTGCGCCGCATGGGTCGTCGAAAATGCTGCATAAAAGAAAAATGAAACAAACCTCCACAAGGTGGAGCTCAAAGTACATAAAAGATCGCTAGATCCTACTGTCAATAATAAACATCATTATTAGTCACAAATCAATACACCAAATTATAATTATTACTACTATTATCATTATAACTTGTAACTTAGCTTATCAGCACTGTTTTTGTTATAAAAATCAAGTGATTTCTTTTATCACCACCAGTGTCAGCTTCATGGCTGTACAGTTTGTCATTGTACTAGTAAAGCTTTTCATACAATAAAAAACGCCTAGAAATTAAAATATACAAAATGTTAAATTAGTACTCAGGTCTTAGTGTAGCTTTGATCACTGTGAAGCACAAATACTTTTTCATAGACTGGTTAAATTGGTTCACTGTAAACAACTTTAGCTTACCACAACTTACCACTATTGTGGTTATTGTTCCTGTTGTTGTTTGCTGTTGTTCCGTTCTAAGGTGTTCCAGGTCTGTTTCCCCGTGCCTCCTGTCATGCTTTTCCTTCTGTTTCCTCCATCTCTGTGCCTGAGTGGTCTTTTCCCCTGAGTTAAGGCTCAATTTCTGTTAGATATTCTTCAGGGGCAGTGGTGGCTGGGGCAGCTTCAGGTTCGAGTCCACCAGCTGCCAAGTTGCCACTGAGTTGCTCTGAGCATGGTATCGTCCCCACTCACTGCTGCCCACTGTTCACTTTGGTGATGGGTTAAAAATAGAGGTCACATTTGGTTGTGTGCAGTGGTGTGCTGTGTCACGATGACAAGGAGTTCACGTTCCTTTATTTCATGATATTACATATAAACCTCTGTACCCGATCTGTGTTGCGTGTTGCGTTCAGGTCCCGCCTGCAGACCGTACACAACAGTTTCTTTAGAACATTAATTAAGCTTTATTGATGTATCTAAGCTGTGAAATACGCTGTTCCTTTACAACGTTTTTCTCTTAAATTTGTTACATTTTCACCGTCACTCCCAGAATGACTGCAGCAGCAGTGTATCATGTTGTATATATTGCACTGAGAAAATGATGTGCATTTTCAGACTTTAGGAAAATCTCCACACCAATGATATTATCATCTGATAGCATGCAGCAAATGCAGCACTTTGAAGTTCAAGTTTGAATACAGAAAAAAACTCATTACGAGTAATGTTGCTGGAACGTACAAGCCAAGTGAATAATCACAGCCGCAGTTTGGTGACTCAAACTGCTGTGTGAGATTTATAGCAGGGCAGTGGAATCCATACATCAAGGAGCTGACAGGATTTTCTTGTAAATAATGTCACCAGCAGCACTGCGATAAATCTCTATGTGAGCACTGTTTGTACAATGTACTGTATATCTCACAATATTATATGTCATCGTTCGGCATTTGTTGACAATGGGCTGTTTTTCAAGGGCCCTTTGAAATATAGTACTTCACAGGCTCATTTTTTAAAATTTATTATTGTGCTTATTCTCGGGACTTTCAGCCTACTGTAGGAGCCATGTTTAAGGTTTAAATTTAGCATTTTCCCTTATGTGGTCGATTTCACCCATGAGCGTGTTGCTGCTTGGAGGCACTGACGTGTCATTTTGCTTCGATCTTGTGTGTAGTTTTTTTTTTTAATTCTGCCATGATGATGTTATTTGTTTTCTACAGACAACGCTTTATCTTTTTTGTTTTGTTTTGTTTAGTCAGTGGTGAGTGGATACTGCACTGACAGGCCAGAGGACAGTGAGATCACTAGATTTTTAGCCAACCTTGTTGTTTTGTGTTGACTCTAAAACAACCTGATACACTTTAGAAGTATGGTCTCCAGAAAAAGCTCTAAATAGTTTCATTTTATGCCAAACTGGCCTCCACTGAACAGTAGAGAAATCATTTTGGCTTAAAGAATTTTGGAAACATTCAACATCAAAAGAAAGATTTTTTTTTGGCAGCTGTATAAACGTTTTTTGACGTACCTGAAAAGTCTTGAAACTAGATAAAAGCTGCTGTACATATTGAATGCTTACAGATTGCTCTGTAGTGGGTGTGGGCCTGACTGGCCTGCCTGCATTCTAGGTTTTTCTATATTTGTCACTGTAGCTTTCTGCTGATAATGAATAGGTGAAAAAAACAGATGAGACCGTAAAATGTTTAAAAAAACTTTAACTTTACTTTGGTATATCTTACCAGAGGGGATTTTACACAACTTAAACCATTATCACTAAATCATCTAAAAGGTTAATAAAAGAGATGGAAATAATTCAAGTATTCTGGGGCCAGGGCAGGTCACGACCTCTGCCCCAGACCACAACTTGTGTAGTGGGAGGGAACTGAAGAATATTCTGGTCATAACTAAGAATAGTACCATGTATGTCTTATACTGTAGTCCATTCAGTAGTTATCATTTGTATGAAGGGATTGCAAATAATAATAATAATAATCCTAGGGTAATATGTATTTTACGTTTTTCAAAGACTTCAGTCGAATACTACTATGGTCTCCTCCCCCAATCGCTGGACACCTTTGTCAGGATATATATGTCAAAGGTGTAACATCATACTTCAAAGTATCATTTCAACTTTGGAAGGGTCACATTCCTTTGTGACAGTGGGGGAGGGGGGTAGGGAGAGGTTTCACTGAGTCAGAGGAGGAAGGAGAGGTAGAAGAAGAGCTAGACACAAAAAGAGGTGAAGAAAGGCAAAGAAAAATGCAGGCGAGAGGGGTAAAAGAAGGAAGAGCAGAGTTATGAGATCCAAAGTCCTCTGACACTTATGACCATCTGGCATGGTTCAACCTTCCCATCATACACATTCCTGTCTGACACACTCACAAAGCACCATTGTACACAAGTGGATCTGACTCATATCCTCACTACTACAGAGGCTATAGGCAAAGAAGACACACCATAGAATTACATGCAGTCTCACACTCTCATCTCTTTTCCCTGCATAGACACACACACACACACACACACTAGCCTTGATCCACCCCTATTGTGCAGTAACAGAGTGACAGGTTTAATACACCTGTAAATGATTCCCTACTGTACAGAGAGGTGGTGTTGACTTCAAAAGATAAGGGAGAGGAGGAGGAGGAGGAAAAGGAGGAGGAGAAGGATGTATGTGCCCTTGTATATGACCCCGATGGTCATTGAAGAAATTACCTTGCGATCTCTTCCCTATTCTGACTCGGATGTCAGTGGTAAAAAGATAAAATCACGGAATAATTTTCCAGCCTCCATAATGAAATGGAGCAGAAATGGAGACACGTGGGTGAAGGACAGTTTTTATTAATGATCAACCGATGCTTCCTGAAGACAAAGACACATGACAGCACATGACATGAGAAGTAGGTGGAAACAAAACACACAGCTGAGAATCTACATTCTGTGTTACACTGTGTTTTTGGCAGTACTGCCTGTCATTTTACCCAACATTAATACACCAAGTTGAATGTCTGCAATAATGAGTGTTCCTCCTTGTATAACCAACAGGGTGTGCTAAAGTGTCGATGTAAAAATGAATCAACAGAGGAGGGTTTTATTTATTTTTGCATTTATTGTATTTATTTATGTTTATTTTGGCGTCTGAGTTTGTTTACCTACACACAATTTGAAACATTTCACCCAATATGCATTGGGTGAATTCTACATCATCTTCTACAAAAGGTGAAATAAGAGTTAAGTGAATACTGTATATATTTTATATATATATAAATGTTTTTAATTCCATCTTTCTAAGTTTCATAAAAAGTGCAGACTTTCACATGTGCAGCACTTGCACTTCCAGTTTTCGTTAACTTTTTTATGTTTGACTTCATGAAGTATAGGCTCAAGTTCAAAGCCGCTCAGAAGTGATTTTTTTTTTCTCTCCATCCTGTTAACACTTCAACGGACATGAATCCATTAAAAGAGCAAGCAGGTATATTGGGAGAGCTGAGCCTGGAGAGTAGAAATATCCCCCAGGCAGAAGGTTTGTGTCCGCCAAATTGGACTGGCGAGAAAAATCCCCAAATTCCCTCTGTGAATGCCACTAAGTAATTAATCTCCAGCAGGGGTTTGCCCCCCCTCCGTGACATGTGAGTGACAGGCAGGTTCTATGCATGAGAGACGTTTCATTGCTTACCCTCAGGCCTGCTCCATCATGGCCTCCACTTCTTTCATGTTTTTTTTTTCTTTTTTCTGTCTGTCCTGTGAAGCGGGCAGTGAGAGAGAACACAAAATATTAAGGTCTCAAGATTATCATTTTTTTAACACATTTGGAAAAAATTGAATTAGAAAATCTGCTCATAAAATGTCACAAGGAAATATAGAATTTATTATTAATGTGTCAGAGCTTGTTGGATTTGTTGGATTTGAATTATATTGCAGGCATGTATCTAATTACATTTCAGGCAAAAAACTTAAAGCAAAGCAAACTTTCTCCTTAAAAGTACATTGTAACATACCGGGGTTTTTTTTGCCTGTATATCGTCTGCATATAGTGGTACATTTTAATCCCCTGTAATTTTGCATCTGACTCAATCAGGTACAGTAGAGTGTGGGCCCCTGGTTTTGTAACTTGAGAGGCTGCTATTTGTGAGTAACAGAGTGTGTGTCAGTTCAGCAGAGGAGTAATGGAGGAAAGGCAGCCACATTAATGACAACCACACTTCTATAAAGCTCCACACAGTATTTATAGAGTCAGCTGGGCTTTAGGAGGCCGCACTCGGAAAGTCCACAAACCGCTGGCCCTAACAGACATGTGCAGGCACACACACAACCACTACCACCACCAGCCCTCCTACACACACACACACATACACACACACACACACAAGGCCTGCATAATAGCCAGAAATAGCCAGAAAAGACTGTATTATATGTCAAACTTGCTTTATCCATAACTCTATTATCAAATTTATCAAATATTACACAAT